AGAAAATACATGTGTTCCTTCTGATTTTGACAGCCTTCAGCAAATATGCCCATTGGTCTTAGAAATAAACAGCAAATTAGATTTTGAGAATTACTCAGCTGGGTCTCATCTCACACAAGAGAAATCTCTTTAGATGAGGGTTGAGCCAGTGAGAACTTTTAAGACTGTGAAGAATTTTCATTACCAACTGTTCTTGTCTTTCCCAAGAGGAGAACAAATGTAAAAGGATCTTCTTGTCTATGAAAGTTTATTGTGACCATGCAGCCCTGGTGGCATGAACAGTTGAGAGCTCTGCTACTAGCTAAAAGGTTGGCTGGTGAACTGAACCAGAGGCATCTTGGGAGAATGACCTGCAATTGATCTCCTACTCAAAAAGCAGCCATGAACAACCCTCTTGTGCACAGTTCTAGTCTGATACACATGGGGTCACCATGAGTCAGAATCAACTGTACAACAGTTTTCATAATATTCATCTATACCGTAACCTTTGAGATGGATTATCAAGGGAGAAAGGAACCTAGCCAACCAATTTAAATGCTCAATGGTATTTATGATCTCTACGCATTAGTAATTTTAAACAATTCACTGTGTTTAATAGAAAGTACTATTCTCTTGAGATTTTATCTAAAATTTTCATCTCTTGTTTTCAGTTTTAAAATCTTATGTATTTCAACACATGCATCAGCTATTAAGAAATTAGTAAATACTTTAATATTTTGTTATATGTTATTTGTAAGCGGTTTATATATTGCTGTAAAATGTCATTTCTATGAGAGTAGTGAATTACTTATACTAGTCAAAGAGTAAAACATTCATGTGATAGGTCAAGCCAACAATTATTTATTGAATGCCTACTATGTGCCAATCAAGGTGTAAAGAACAAGAATCAGTAGACAGAGCAGATTTTAAAAAACGGTAGCAAATGTTTGTTAGTTTTTTAATAAGAAGGATTAACGAGAAAAGCAAAACCTGACAAGTATTTTAAAATGTTTTCTACTATGCATTATTGTGTGGGATTTTTTTCTGAGCTAGAAAAAGAAAAGAAAAAAATTGAAATAAGTCTATCTAAAATTCAGAGCAAAATGGATCCGAGCTTAAGTATCTTTCTCATGTGTGTTTGTGTGTGTATTTCTTTTTAAGATCAGAACTTATGCAAACTCTACTGTATCGCTGAAGGATTTGATTTCTTCTTTTCTTTGTCAAATAAAGTCAAAGATGGGACTCCATGCTCGGAGGATAGCCGTAATGTTTGTGTAGATGGGATATGTGAGGTAATCATGATCCTTCATTCATTCAACCAACATTTCCACACAGTCTGCTTTGTGCCAGGGACCATAGGAGGGGCCAGCGAGACCAGACAGACAGACAGATGAGGTCCTCTCTTCAGGTCAGAACTCACTTGGAGAAAAAGCCAGAGAGACACATGTGGATAATATAGAGTAGGCTGTTCCGAGGCGGAATTAGAAGGGTAGAGTTAAAATATGTCTTCAGTGGGAGTGTAGGAGATTCCTGTGAGCGACATGAGAGGAGGCCCTTAGAGCTAGGTCTAAAAGAGTCAAATGGAAGAAGGTCCATGGGGAACGCTACAAGTAGAGCCTCACTTTGCAAAGCTCCCTCACTGTCAGGAGGAGGTGTTGGCATGGGTGCCTGTGTATGCAGACCAGGTTTTGGGATTGAGAGTGCAGAACTGAAGAAGTGACTTGGGAGATAGTCTGGGAAAG